GAGGCGCGCTCTGGCCGGACCCGGGCGCTAACCCTGTCCCCTCTCCTGGCGCCCTGTGGCCTATGGTGACAACTTGGGGTCCTGCACTCCACAGACGGCTCTCAAACTCCCAACACAGCTCTTCTACCCCCCGTTTCTCACCACACCCACTCCCCAGAATCATCTGGGGGAGAAACCAGCGTTCACTTTCCCTGAAGTTTGCGAGAACATTTTGAAGCCTGGTTGGAAGGTGCTACTTTCAAGCATTAGTTTAGATTTTACTTCACTCGTCTCCACTGAATGCCTATAAATTCCAGATTGCAAAGTTTTCTTGTGTCTTTCCCGCCGCTCACTTCATTGATCCGAGAAAGTGGGGGTTTTTATGTTCAAAACGAAACCTTCGTATGCCTGGGGCTGTTTATTGTTTTTCCAAGTTGTTGGGAAGGTGGGCAGATTTTAGGTCTTCCCCATCCCGCAAATAGCCACCTCGGACTTAGGTGAGCCCACTTGTAGAAGAAAACCTATTTGCCTCACAATATTATATCTTTTATGGGCACCTGGATGGAACTGCCCTACAGCCATGGAGATTCCCAAATTGTTGAAGTTGGCTAGAGTCCTAAATGAATAGTTAATTCCCACCAAGGGGCAGTTACCCCTCCTCTGGTAGAGGATCACCTAATAAATTTCTGTTCTCTCCAGAGCTTGACAGCAAGAGAAACTGCTGTGTTACAGCTAGTTGTGCCATCGTCTCTAGGATTTCTGAGAACCGATATTTTTCTTATGGATCTGCTTTTAATTTCTGTCTTCACTGCTTTGTCCATTTGAACCATCTGTTAAAAAAACAAAAAACCTCTTCTACAGATCATGGGAAAAATTCCATTAAAGTGCTTGACATTTTTCCCAGTTAAGTTTCAGACTGTCAAGACTTTTAGTTTCAAATAGTTTTTTTTTAAGTACACATAAACATTAAAAGTAGCACATAAACCTTAAACTAAGACAGATAAGAGATGTAAACAGTGTATTTGATGGCTTTGATTTAAATTCTTCTGAGCCAGGAAAATTAGACTTAAAGACCTTGCTGGATGGTTAGACCTCAAAACATTGGAAGAATGGCCAATCACCATTACGGTCATTTTAACTCCAAGTGTCTAACTTGTACCTGTCACTTAAATACCCCTCATTTGGGTAGGAGGGGTGGGGGTGGGGGGCAATAATGCTGTTGTCAGTTAACAGAGCTACAGAAGCAGCAGTGGGGCTGTTTTCCACCTGAGTTGATTTTACATCTATTCATCACATAGCCAAAAGACAAAAAACCAGTCAGACCAAACAGTTTCCTTTCAACTTTTGCTATGTTGCCGTTCCAAGAAACTAAATCCAATGCCAGTGGCTGAGATATGAAACAGGATAAAATATAATAATCCCTTCCTGTTTTTCATTAAATAAAAGTCCTGCGATTAATTCTTTAAAAAATCCATCAGCAGCCTTTGATAAGTACCATTTACGATGCTGGATGTCAATTTTCATTTTTCTTTAAAAGTGCAGGACAGATTTATTCTAGGTTCTAAGAAATGGGTAATCATTTACCCATTCATGAGTATAATTGCAATGTTTTATACCTACTGTTTACATAATAAGGACCTGGGCAGAGAAGTGATTTACATGGAAAAATAAATAAAGCAAAGCATAGTACCTGACCTCCAGCAGTTCTCAGAAGAGAAAACATAGAGAATGTGTACCTGTATCACACGAGGCAGAATATTCTCTATACCAATAATGTACCAAGAGTGCACTGATGCTATCATCAATATGTTTCCACTCAGGCCCATCACTGCATTCATGTGGAATAAGGATTTTTCCTCCTACCTTTCATCCCTAGCCTCTAAAGTTCAGTATATTACAATGGACTCTTTCCCTGTAGGCGCTTTCGGAGTAACTCATGACTTAGCCCTGTGATTCATCCTTTAATTATACCTGCTAGTCGGGCTTAGTCGTATGCCACATTAACTCAGCTACTTGAGAGACACCAGAAATGGTTTTGCTTTGAGGTAGATTTACGGTCAGTTTTCGACTGTTGTTTTCATGTATTATTTTCCCACCATAATAACTAAACCAGATTCTGAGAACAGGCTTTCTAATAAAAGAGTGTCTATACCGGCAAGCTTTTTGGATTGAAATGTAGCCTCTCCAAAAATTTCAACTTCACAATATGTGGCCCTGTCAACTGCATGGTGAGTTTCACAAATATTATTGGCTGACACACTCTTTGGCATGGTTACTGGCACAGAGAAATGTCTCTGTTTGTTTTCTTAATTCTAAAATGGGATGTGTGGGGCTTTGTTTCTTTCTTTTAAAGAACAAAATAGTGAGTTGGGAAGAGTAAACTAATACATGATATTTGTAAACCTGCCTCAAACTTTTTTCTTGACCTAAATCAGATCTAGCACCTAAGCCTGGTGCTTAATACACAATAGTTGTTACTGTTGGTTATTATTATTTTTTAGTTATATAGATTTAGGCCTCCCAGATTCAGATTCTGAGACCAAGTTCAGGCCTGGTAAGAAATGCCTAAACGGAAGGAGACTGCGTCTCGGAAGACTGAATGTACTCTGCAGTCCTTCCTACGGTGAGGAGGCAATGAGTGCGTGGTCACTGCTTGCATTTCCACCTATGCTTTATCTTTTCTCAAAGCATGTTCTTTGGAGGTAGTTTTTGCATCATTCTAGTTCAACCTTACATCATGTCTAGAAAAACAATATTGAGCCCACATGAACAAAATACATGATTTAATATTTTTAAACATTTTTATTGTGGTAAACACATAACATGCAGCTTATCACTTTAATAATTTTTAAGTGTACAATTCAGTGGCATTAAGTATATTCACACTTGAGCAACCATCACCACCATTCATTTCTAGAACATGTTTATCTTCTCCAACTGGAACTCTGTGCCCATTAAACAACAACTTCCTTTCCCCCCCCCCNTCTTTTAACCATTTTTAAGTGTACAGTTCTGTGGCATTAAGTGTATTCACATTGTTGTGTAGCCATCGCCCACTATCCATGTCTAGAATTTTTTCATCATTCCAAAACTGAAACTCTGTACCCATTAAACAATAACTCCCCATTTCCTCCTCCCCCGGCCCCTGGTAACCACTATTCTACTTTCTGTCTCTATGAATTTGACTACTTTCTGTACCTCATCTAAATAGAATCATACAATATTTGTCCTTTGCGTCTGACTTATTTCACTTAGGTGATTTAATTATTAATAAGAGAAGCAAAGAAAACATAAGAGTCAGATTTGTTTTTAAAACCATTTGAACCTACATAAATTTTTGAATCAAGAGAGTTTCTAAGCTACTCTTCTGCTCACAGAAAAAGGAAGTTCAGATCAAGCCCACTCATAGCAGGTATTGTTTATTCTGCTTTATTAAAAACATTCTTTTTTTTTCCCCACACACACAATTCTTGTCAGATTGGTTAATGTAGGACATTGCATTCTCTGAAGGGCAAGCGTCTATGTCATATCACTAGTGACAGCAGCCTATATGACTTACTAACATTGTTTTTTGCAGCTAAAAGTGAATTAATTGCAGAGCTTCTCTCAAATGGATACAACTCTCCCCATCTTCCTAGGAAAGACTCCCATTTCATAACCCTGGAAAAAATGAAGTTTCTTTCTCAACCCAGACTACATTATCATCCAATAAATGGGCTAAAGAGCAGTGGTTGTGAGATAAGAATGAGAAATGAATTTATGTAATTTAGAATACTTATTTTGATTTGGGTGTTTTTGACTGTTGATTTGTTTTGCTTTGTTTTTAGACATAGATTTCTATTTCCATTTAGTATTGCCCTCTTGTGGCAAGCCAGAATGTTTGCTGACAGAAAACCTTAAAGCAAACAGAAAAAACAGAGACGGAAATGTACTGAGCACCTCCATGTGCTGGGGATGACACACAGAGTGCTTATGTATGTCACCTCATCTAAGCCTCTCCACAATCCTGGGAATAAGTATGAAATACTGTCAGACCCTCTTTCAACAGGTGGGGAAATTAGGATTCAAAATGGTTAACTTGTCTGAGTTTATATAGCTAGACAGTACTGGAGCTAGGATTTCAATCCAGGTTTTTCTAGCCAAAAAGGCCATGGTTTAA